GTTTGCAATTTCAGGCACTGGCTGAGCACAAAATGAAAAATGTCTGTGAGATGGATTTGACGTCATCAGCTCGGCCTTGAGCATGGCCAGCGGGAGACGATCCACGTTTACACTTCTGGCCTCTACACTCTTCATTCATAATAAGGCCACATCCAGTGGCCAGCTCTTGTATCACTGTACTGTGACTGATTTAATTTTAAGATGGCCGTGCATTTTATTAATGGATAAAAAAGATCAGAGCTTCCCCTGTAAACCGTGTCCAGTGTTAATGTACTCAGAATATAATGGCATTCAGAATGTTCTTATGTACAGACTGAGGGACCTAATTGAGGCTGATCTGTCCAGGAGCCTGAAGATTAATAATTTTTTTGCAGTTTTTATTTGAAGTCCAGATTAGTTTTAGTTTTCAGTGTGGTTTTGTTCTATTTTCTGTTTCTATTCATTTTGTAGAGCTATTTTTTGTGTCTGATCCTACAAGAATACACAGTGCATATTACAGTAGTATGCAAAAGTTTGGGCACCGCTCGATAAATAACATATTTTGGTCATTTTTTAATGGAAAAGATGTAAACACAGTCTCTGTAGGAAATGGAAAAAATGCACAATATTTTCACCAAACATTGATGCATAGTTACTTTTTATGTCATAAATTGAACAAAGATAAAAAATAAAAACATTATTGTGGCACTTTGCAAAAGTTTGGGCACCCTACATAATCAGTACTAATAACACCTCCTCTGGCAGATATAACAGCTTGCAAACACTTTTTATAGCCAGCTAAAAGTCTTTCAATTCTCGTACTTGGGATTTTCTCCCATTCTTCCTTGCAAAAGGCTTCTAGTTCTGTAATATTCTTTGGTCATCTTGCATACACAGCTCTTTTTAGATCTACCCACAAATTTTCAATGATGTTTAAATCAGGGGACTGTGATGGCCATTCCGAAACCTTCAGCTTGTGTCTCATGAGGTAGTCCATGGTGGATTTCGAGGTATGTTTAGGGTCATTGTCCTGCTGTAGACACCATCCTCTTTTCAGCTTCAGCTTTTTTACAGATGGTGTGATGTTTGCTTCCAGAATTTGTTGGTATTTAGTGGAATCCATTCTTCCCTCCACCTGTGCAATGTTTCCTGTGCCACTGGCTGCAACACAACCCCAAAGCATGATAGATCCACCTCCATGCTTAATAGTTGGCAAGGTGTTCTTTTCATGAAATGCTGCTCCTTTTTTCTCCAAACATGCCTTTGCTGATTGTGGCCAAAGAGTTCTATTTTAACTTAATCAGTCCACAGCACTTGTTTCTAAAACGCATCAGGCTTCTGCAGATGTTCTGTTGCATACTTCGGACATTGGATTTTATGATGGGGATGCAGGTAAGGTTTTCTTCTGCTGACTCTTTCATGAAGGTCTTGTGGAATGGTGCACCACCACTCCTAAGTTTGCTAAATGTTCCTGCAGTTTTTTTGCAGTCAAATGGGGGCTTTGATTTGTCTTTCTGACCAGCATACGAGCAGTTCTCTCCGAGAATTGTCTTGGTCTTAATAATAATTAATACTTTATTGATCCCCGTGGGGAAATTGTTTTTACGCCTCCCTCAACTTGCTCTTTGCAGAGTAAGTTGTCTGTGAAGGGCAGCCACCTGTTGGGGCGCCCAGGGAGCTGGGGGTTAAGGGCCTTGCTCAAGGACCCACAGAAGTGCTGAGGCTAGGTTTGAACCGATGACCTTGTGATTTCAGGTACACAGTCTTACACAGTCTTAGCCCACTGAGCCACACGCTGCTTCCAGATCTCATCTTGACCTCCACAGTTCCCCTGAACTGCCATCTCTTCATTACATTTCTTACTGTGGAAACTGCAAGCTGACAACACTTTGCTATCTTCTTGTAGCCTTCTCTTCCATTGTGGGCATCAGTACCTTTCATTGTCAGAGTCTTACACAGCTGCTTAGAGGAACCCATGGTTGTTGAGTGTCCACAAGTGTGTGCACAAGGTTTGAAGAGTCAGTGTATTTGTAAAGCTTTGGAATTGGCACCAGCTGACATTTACTAATGACAGCTGTTGCCATGCATCAGATCTAACGAGCTGATTAACATCAGAAACCTTGTAAAAAGAATCTGAGGCTTTGGAACTCTTAGGGTGCCCAAACTTTTGCAGAGTGCCATAATAATAATTTTATCTTTGTTCAATTTATGACATAAAAAGTAACTATGCATCAATGTTTGGTGAAAATATTGTGCATTTTTTCCATTTCCTACAGAGACTGTGTTTACATCTTTTCAATTAAAAAATGACCAAAATATGTTATTTATCGAGGGGTGCCCAAACTTTTGCATACTACTGTATGTAATAAAATCCTCAAAAGGGGCAAAATGTTCCAGGTGTTATTAATAGTAATTAAAGATGAACAAATCATTACTTTAGTGTCTTGGTCTGATCTTTAGAGAATCTTGCACAAATACACAGTGCACGTTATGTAATAATGTCCACAAAATGGGCAAAACATATCTCAGGTGTTATTAATGGTAATTAAAGGTGAACAAATCCTTACTTTATTGATGGTTAAAGTAACCAGCACAATTCTAATAAAATCAGTGTGGAAATTAATGCTACAATTCAGAAGAGCAAGATTCAACTATCCGGCAGCGCCTTGGTCTCGATGTTGCTGGATACAAGACCTTTTTCTGTAAGTAGTATTTAAAAACTGTAACAGAATGTATTTGACATTTGTTTCTTACTTTATATTAGTTATTTTCTGAAGTAATATTTATAATTTTCGTTTAGTTATAGTTTTTAAACTGGGGTCATGTTTCTGAACAGTCGTTTTCTCTCCTTCCTGCTGCACTCCTCACTTCAAAGTTTATATATTGTGTATAAAAACCGCTTCTGACCAAAATTCTGGAAATGACCTCATACATTAACATTGTGAAATGGCGCACACAACTGTCAGCTCCAGACATAACCCATGCAAAACAGACGCTGGAAGTCCCCCCACCCACCTCAGAACCCCATCATTCCTATTCCTCTTTCAGACCATATGATCACGTGACACATCACCTGACTGGCGCCGGATCTTCGCCTGCAGCCCCGGGGACACCAGAGGGTTTTCTTTTCTTAAAGGTGTTCCGCTAGGCATCTGATCTGCTGGGCCATGACTGTTTCAGTCACTCTTTGCCAAAGCAGGGAAACGCATCATTAAACCAGTGCATGTTTTAAATCTATTTCAATCTCACAACACAAACCATTAAACTTCTAAGACTTCATGTGGAAAAAGCAGGCAAAAGGGATTAGTGTAGTGCTCTCGGCGGACAGTGACGCGCCTGCAGGGCCCATCCAGATTGGCTCGGACCTGGATGAGGGTGAAGATCCCCTTCTAGTTCCTATTTGTGGAGAGATGCTGTGGTGGTGGGGGCATTTGGTGTTCATGATGTGGACAATAAGCCACAATGATCGAAGCTCTGGAGGACCAGGGTCTGAAGGGGGAGGGTTCTCTAACGATGGAACAAGTTTGGGATTATCCCCCCGCACCACCCCCCAACCCCAAACCTTTTCGTAATGGAAGTCTCTTCAGAGGAAGACAGAAGTGCCGTTGTGTTATGGCGGGGATTAAGCCTCCCAGTAGAAGCACAGACTGTCAGACAATACAGCCCATCAGCGTGCTTTTGGCTTGAAAGCCCCCCACCCCCTCCGGGCCCCTGCGCCCAAAGCGCACACCATTACCCCCTTTCTGGTCTCCACAAAACCCATTGACCGTGCCACCATGAATTACACCGGCACTGGGTTTACATGGATAGGGTAGATTTAACCCTTGAGCACTGGAGACTCTCACGTACATGTCCTCTGATCCAGAGTCAGTGCCGCAAACATATTAAATATTAAAGTATTAAATAAAGTATTAAATTGTGTAACATTTATCCAAGATATAGTTTGAGGGTATTTTTTTTTGTCTAATAAAGACTAAAAAAAAATCATTCCACACAGTAGACACAGTCCCGATATTATACACAAAAATGGAACGAAATCTAAACATCTCACGATTTTCTGTATTACATTTCACAGTACTGGTGGATACTTGCATTTAGAATTGGGGGTGGGGGTTAGAAATCTAAAAAAGAAATCTATTATCAAATAGCTGTAGCAAAATTCCACTTCATTTGTACCATGAGGAAAAACACGACTCAGAAGGGGCCAAAGACAATTGAGGCCCTGCCAAACCGTTCCAGCGGTGGAGAATTAATAGGAGGATTAAGAGGCGCATGCTTTAGGAACAAAGGGCAAAAAACAAAACGTTGTTTTATTGGGGGAAACGCGAGCTGGTGAGGAATGAAAAGATGGCATGTGATTCAAAACAAGGACCATCTGGATAGCGAGAAAACAGCATTTCCCATGAAGACAGCCCAATGGGATGTTGTTTTACCGATGGAATAACGAGCTCGACCCCGGCGTGTTGGAGACCCAGGGCACTGTTTGACGTAGTGCACGCACACATACAAAGTTGGTGTCTGCATGCTTCTGAATCCGATTTAAGCCCCCCCCCCCCCCCCCTCAGGGGCGCCATTTTTGAATGTGGGCGTAGGTTTGAAGCATTCCAGCAGCAGTTCGAAATCGGGATCAATGTGTCCGCATAACGGCAAGGCTGTCACACCGTGTCCCTGACGGATTTTATTCCAGTCTGTTCCCCTGGTGTGAGCGGATGGCTATCGAAGGTCTTCAAAGCTTGCCAAACAAAAGACGATGAGACAGTTATTTTCCCCAAAAAAGCACGCAAAAATGAAGATGCAAATTAATGAAGGATGTTAGAGGGGAAACAGGTAGATTGCGACACCACAGCAAAGGAGACCCACCAGCTGCAAGGAAATAGTGACGACACCAGTCCTCAAAATGGACTTAACTTTCAAAGGGACTTCACTAAATGGCAGACAGCTAAACCATAAGGGACAAATATAAAAAAATACCATTGCTATTCATGTTGAAATGTCTTTGTGGGTGAATAAACAGCCATGGGTGGTGTGTTTTTTTGTTTTTATTTAGTCTCTGAAGCAGCATTATTTACAGTAGTTGTAGCCATGGGTCTGGAGAGAAGCCTCCCACCGTCTATCATGGCTCCTTGCGGATGGGCTTCAGCAACAGCCTGCCGTCTCTTTCCTCCAGCCGGAAGCCCATGTCCCGCAGAGCTGAATCACTGGCCACGCCCCGCCGCTCCAGGGCCTGAACCACCGCCTGGTTCTCCTGGTTGTTCTCCAGGAGGATGCGGATGGCGAAGACAGCCCATTGGCTGATAACTGTGGATTTCTGAGGTCAAGGAAATACTGGTCATGTGACACTGGGTTTTTGTTTACATTTATGCAAGCAGTACAACTTTGAAGCGGGTGAGGCTCAGCCCTCCAGAAAACCTGTGAAATTGGGCCTCATTTCCTCCTTCATTATCTCTCTGACAGGCAACAATAAGCTGATAACAATAAGAATAAACATTTCAAATGTGCACCCTCACACAAATCTTTCTGCTTTTTCCACCAAATGCCGGTGTAAGCTGTGAAAAGGCTAAGCTTGCATCCACCTGCCCCTTGGCACCCAGCCCATGCTCCACACCCCCCCGACCCTACCAGTGTTCCTGCACCGGCCTTGTGAACAGACTGCTCTGCTGACCCGTTCACAACAAAGGCCCCGCCTGCGTGCAGCAGAGGGGAGCCTTCGGCTGAGCCGTCACAGGGAAATCGAGATGTTGGTTTAGCTGGTGACTAACCAATGACACAGAGTTTAAACAAAGCAGCAGGGGTGAGTCATGCAGCTCTGGGGCCTCCGCTGCCCAGTGGGCCAGCTAGGCCTTCTCCACCAGCTTCTGACCATGCGTCCCTTTGATGTTCTCAGCATCTCTGACGTGGTGGGGGGGGGGCGACAGACAACCCACAGCAGTGGGACCAGATCTGTCCTGACCACATTTCTCCATGACGTTCTGCGATTCAAAATGAGGACATAATGGATGAGGATGTCATCTGTGACACACCAGACAACCTGACCACGTACCTCCATGAGGCGTTCTGACATTCTCCATGATGGTTTGGCCAGACTTGGAAGGACACAGACCTTCACAATGGGGCAGAAGTGCATGGAGTGTGGTATTCTGAGGGCCCTCGGAAGGTTCCAGAGTGGGTAGGATGTCTGGTGGCATCCCTTGGACTAAAGGCCACGTGACTCCGATAACCTTTCAGCCCAAGGCAGTAAACTCCAAGTTATGAGGATCCAGAGTCAGGTTCAGGGAGGGAAAAAACTACAGGTCTCTCAAAGGGAAAGCACCTCACAGATTAAGAAAAGAAAGAACTCAAAGCCATATTGCAAGGTGTAAGCAGGGAACCATATTGAAAAAAATACACCAGTTCAACCCTCTCTACTATAGAACTGCCTGGAAAACATACTAATCCTTATTGTAGCTGAATGTAAATCTGTTGCTTCTACTAGAGCCAAAGAGAAAACAAATGGTTCTTTCAGACCTAAATACCTCTGAACACAAGCCACGAAAAATCCTGTCAACAACACATCTCATTTTGTTTTCTTCTATCTTCAAATTACGGGCTGCGTAGAATGTTTTGTCACACGGTCAATTTTATTTGTAAAAATGGGCTGAGAGTCCGGGAAAGAGGGAAAGAGAGGGAAAAGATAAACAAACCTTTCTCCTTTCGGAGCCTATCGGAGATCGCTGCACGGGGGAGAGGAGTAAACTTTTGCGACGGTCTGGGGAGGACAGGTCCGTCCAACACAATGACTCTCACAGACTAAGTTGAGCAAATTGCTGACGACTCCCCTGCATTCCAGGATCACTCCTCTCCACTCAAAAGCACTGCATTAACTTGGAAGCTCCCAGTGAGGTCAGGATTAGGAAGGAAAACTAAGTGGAAGTGGGAATCTTTACAGGAGGATCTGCCTTGTGATACTGAAGGACCAAGCAGGTGGACCATACAAACCAAGCAGTAGGTAACACAGTCTGCATGGGTACCAGCTGTCTGCAGGTCAAAACAAAAATACAGGTGAACTGGAGAGGAGATCCCAAGCAAGGATGTCACATACCTGGTGCTTCTAGATCAATAAATAGTGTCAGTAAGAGTATGCTATGGACCAAATCCAAGAAACCCTGGGGGTGTCAGCTAAGCGGTCAGGGGTACCACACCGTTCAGCTGGTTCCAGAACCAGTACATGCTGCCTCTATACCAGCAGACAGACCAATGACAGAACAGTACCTTTATCAGACAAATCTGAATAAAAACTGTATATAAACCATTATTACCACCACTGATCTCCATCATGATGGACAACAGCAACCGGTACCCTAAACAACTCTGTTCTGGGTTGAATTTCAGGTCACGGTGAGCATTATGAATATTACCTGAGTTATCTTGTTAACACACCCCATCCGGCCTAGCCCTTCCTAGCCTGGCAAAACTGAAGTAATTCAGAGGATTAAAACAAGTGCAAACTAATATTCTCATTGCCCTCTCGTTGCACTGACCGCAGAGGTGAAATTAAACATGTTTTAAACCACCTAATCCCAGCAACTCCATAAGCACCATTATTGTGTGCTAAGCTTCCCTTCTCGGATGAGCTTCTAATGTTCCCATAGCGACCTCAATAAGAACAGGGGGCCTATTTGTTGCAAATCTGCATAAAGGATGAGCCCGAAGTAACCACCACACAGACTTGATGGGAGAAAATCTGTGTAAATGCTGGTGACCATTGGCTTGGACAGGTTTTTTATGCCAGCCCGAATCCCCGCGAGGGCTGACCCCTCGTGCGGGGAGTGTGAATGCCATTGGGACCTTTCCTTTTGTTAAGAAACAGAGCAGAGTGCCCAGGAGAGGAGACCTAAAGGGGGTGGGGGGTCTGAAAGCTTTAAACGATGGCCTCACTTCAGGGAGCACCTTGGAAACCAGGCCTTCAGCCAAGAAATGGCAGATAATCTTTTAAGACTGGGAGGAGAAGCCATAGAGACAGAGTGGGATCTGTTCTGAAACGCTCCCAAATCCCCAACGACATCGTGAAACTCGGAGCTGGTTTCTTAAAACCTGAGACGTTCCCTGGGCCGGGAGCCCGCAGTTCGACGGGCAGGGCGTTTAGCAGGCTGAAGCTTACAGAAGGGAGGTGTGAGTCAAAACAGAACAGCGAATGGGTCTCAGAGTATAACTCACATGGGGAATCTCATTAAAATAACACCGGAGCTGACTGAAAGGGGGTAAAGCCGGTTATCCATAATCATGCAGTCAGCTGTCACATCCATGCTCAAACACACCCCTCAGCAGCTACAGAGAAACCAGCCATGACATTCAGATCAGGGTAAAAAAAATGTACAGATACGTGTGCCTTTCTACTTCAGTTAAAAAGCAATGATATCTTAATAGTGTGTTTTTTATCAGTTCACTAAGCACTCTACTCACTTAATATTAACAATAGTCCTCTTCTACCGAAAAAATACTGTATATGTTTGTCTTTGAGCCTTGACATCCATCTGTCAGCAACAGATCTCTTCACACAAAGCAGTCCCTTTCCCGGTAAATGCAGGCTGCCTTTAATCAGCTCACTGTATGACCAGGAATCCAGTCTCAATAAGCCCACAGGGCTCCCAGTCTTGCCCCTCGTCCCCCCCTCCCCGATCCAAATGAAAACACCACATACCGCTATTGCAGAACCCCTCAACATGCAGCCAGGCCATGACCCGTGCGACGGAGAACGGGCATATGTGACGCGGAGCCCTGCTGCAACCTCCTATTTGCGTGCCCTCAAGTCAAAGGGCAAAGGTCACAGTCAATAAGCTTTACCTTACAGAGACAAAGCCACACTTGGTCACCCAAACAAAATAGAGTTTTAACTTAAAGGGAAAAAAAAAGTTTATACATCACAGTCATATTCTGAAACTCCAGTACAGAAACATTACACATTCAATGACACACACTGCATTAACTCCTACCCGAGTGTGAGTGCTGCATCAGCTAATAAAATGTTAATAAATAGCACTTAGTACATGATTCCTGCTTCAGCAGAGTCTGGGAAGTGAGTAGGCAAAGATATTCTGGTAGAAACAGGCACAGCGAGGCCCAAGCCAACATGTCCAGACCACAAGGCCCAGAGAAAAAAAAATCTCGTTTTACTAACATTCCTTGATGTGGAGAGAAATCCACTTTTCATTTAAAGTGCCACTTAGGATTCAAGTCATAGTCTGTACTGTTTCTCAAAGATTAGGCCCAAAACACACAAGGCTGCATCGACATGGGTTTGTTCTGGGCTGAGGTGAACTCCTGCTGGAATCGATCCCACGGGGCTGGGATTGCTAGGGGCTTATCACTGATAAGCGGGTTGTGCAACACCTGGAATTACTGTGTTTATGTCCCCCCCTAGGATGAACTTGGCCCTGTGAAGAACATTTTGGATATAATGTATAGGCCAGCATCTCAAGGGGACTGACTCTGAACAGAGGAAAAACCCAGGGTGTCTGTTGGTTGGCTAGCAGTAAAAACTGGGCGCCTGCATAATTGCAAATCATGATTGACAAAAGCTAAGAATGAAGCTCATGTGGAGCCTGTAGGAAAGCACAATAGACATGAGACTAATTCTCAAAAACACGCATACATGAATGGGAATAACCACATAGAAAAACACCCATTGTCAAATAAATTTCCCAGAATGCACCAGCAAATTCTTGCACTCAGCTGCGCTTAAAGGGTTGTTTGATGAAATGATGTCTTGGTCTGTGGGGAGGCTGAAAACAAGCTTGAAAAACCATACAGCCGAACAGATACAAACACAGGTAAGGAGGAGGGTGGAGTCTATTCTCTGGGCCAGGAAGACACTGGCTGTTACAATCATCTTTCAACCCATGGCTGCCTCTTCTGGGTTTGGCATCAAATTGCAACCACACATTGGAGGTAACACAACACTGTTTATAACACCACTGCTCTAGCTGTACAGGAAGTGACATAAAATATCACTGTTATCTGAACAAGCCTGTCCTGAAGCAGCTTTATGTAAATATTATCTATTTTCTACTCCAAACACCTTCAGGCAGCTGTTTGGCAATGTTTCGATGAGTTTTTTTAATAACCGGATGCATAGCACATAAAACTCTTGAGATGCTTTTTCTTGGCTGGGTACACAAGGTCTTTCCAGAGCCTTTAAAACATTCATCATTAATTTTGCAATTTAACAGCCAATGTTATAAGAATCAGTCTAAGCAGGTATGCCCCCCCCCCACCACCCTATCTACCATCACAGACACACCCGCAAGAAGTTGACCCTGGTG